GCTGGTGGAGGTGTCCCTGCCCATGGCAGGGGTTGGACTGGGGGGGCTTTAAGGTCCCTTCCAACCCAAACTGTTCTGTGATGCTATGATTTCACACAATGCTCACTCTGAAAGTACAAAAAGTTTGGCTTTTGGAGAACAAAAAGGTGCCTGATTTCCAAAAGAAAACAAGCAATTTCTCCCTTTGCATTGTGAGGGCCCCAGAAACATAACACCTCCAGCATGAATACAGCCCAGCTCCCCTTCCCAGCCATCAGCTCCCTGGCTGATTTGGAGCAGGACATCCCCGGATCCACCACCCACGAAGCTCTGTGCACGTCTGACGTCCCACCTTGATCCACACGGCCTCGCTGAGGAAGCTGAACGGCACCGGTGGGTTGTCCGCCGCGCGCTCCTCCAGACCCCTGAAGTCAATCGTGTCTTTGGCGAGCCGCGGCGGCGTCCCTGTCTTCAGCCTGCCCACAGCAAAGCCCAACTTCTCCAGCGTCTGCGCCAGCCCGATGGCTGGCTGGTCCCCCAGCCGCCCCGCTGGGTGCATCTCTAGTCCGATGAGGATCATCCCCCTCAGAAACGTTCCAGTGGTCAGGATAACACTCCCAGCACGGACTGTGCTCCCGTCCCCTGGAACGGCAAGTTTTCAGAGACGTTAATACTAAAACACGTGCAAAGTCCTGGTGCTCTGGTGCTTCCGTGTAAAACCAGGCTAACGCTGCTCACTGAGGGCTTATCCATCTTTTCTTATTTAACAAAATAATAGAATCAATCCAGGTTTCTAATTGCAGTACAGGTATTAACCTAGTCCACACTCAGCCTCTATCGGCTCACTGACAAATTAGAAATGCTTACCCCAAAAGCTGCTCTTAGTGGTGAGCAACTGAAGGCGCTGAGTTAGGAGCACGTACCCAGAATGACTCCCGCGACTCGGCTTTTCCCAGGATGGTCTGGTTCTGGCTCTGCCAAGAGAAGATCCTCCACAGACGCCTCACGAACTGTCAACAGTGGTGTGTTAAGGATTTCTCTCTGTCACAAAAGGAGGTACTGCAAAAACCTAGGAAGCTCTGAGACACGTGGGCAGTCCCAACCCCTGCTGATTTCCAAAATGTATCACCCTCTTCCCTCTTTCACCCTCACCAGGTCACTTGGTCACTGTACTATCCTGATCTATCAAGCAGAACCTTTCATTTACAGGTAAGAGTTTAAGCTCAAAAGAAACCTGTGAAGTTTATATACAGGTCTTCATATACATATATAACTTTATATACAGGTCATGAAGCCTGACCTGTATATAAAACGCTAGAGAATTTATTTTAAACTATGCTAAGCTGCAACAACTTACGCTCCATTAAAGTACCAAAAAATATTGATAGGAAAATGCTAAAAAATAAAACAAACTCCCTAATCCCTCTGCCTCAGCTGAAGATTCAGGTGCCACCTCCCTCCTCGTCCTATCTCCCCCAAAGCCAAGTTTAACTCCTAAGCGTCCCAGCAAGGGGGAAGAGTCCCCCTGAGGGGAGCCTTCCTGCGGGGGAGCTCAGCCCCGGCCCCCGGCTCTCACCTGCATGTTCTCCTTGTAGAGGCCGCGGTCGATCTGTGCGCGG